AACGTGGATTTTTTAAAGAATTTTTTAGAGGTCTCCAAAGGCATTTAAACGTGGATTTTTTAAAGAATTTTTTAGAGATCTCCAAAGGCATTTAAACGTGGATTTTTTAAAGAATTTTTTAGAGGTCTCCAAAGGCATTTAAACGTGGATTTTTTAAAGAATTTTTCACAGATATGTCGAGGCCTTTAAACGTGGATTTTTTAAAGAATTTTTTAGAGATCTCCAAAGGCATTTAAACGTGGATTTTTTAAAGAATTTTTTAGAGGTCTCCAAAGGCATTTAAACGTGGATTTTTTAAAGAATTTTTCACAGATATGTCGAGGCCTTTAAACGTGGATTTTTTAAAGAATTTTTCACAGATATGTCGAGGCCTTTAAACGTGGATTTTTTAAAGAATTTTTCACAGATATGTCGAGGCCTTTAAACGTGGATTTTTTAAAGAATTTTTCACAGATATGTCGAGGCCTTTAAACGTGGATTTTTTAAAGAATTTTTCAGAGTTATGTCGAGGCCTTTAAACGTGGATTTTTTAAAGAATTTTTCAGAGTTATGTCGAGGCCTTTAAACGTGGATTTTTTAAAGAATTTTTCACAGATATGTCGAGGCCTTTAAACGTGGATTTTTTAAAGAATTTTTCAGAGTTATGTCGAGGCCTTTAAACGTGGATTTTTTAAAGAATTTTTCAGAGTTATGTCGAGGCCTTTAAACGTGGATTTTTTAAAGAATTTTTCAGAGTTATGTCGAGGCCTTTAAACGTGGATTTTTTAAAGAATTTTTCAGAGTTATGTCGAGGCCTTTAAACGTGGATTTTTTAAAGAATTTTTCAGAGTTATGTCGAGGCCTTTAAACGTGGATTTTTTAAAGAATTTTTCAGAGTTATGTCGAGGCCTTTAAACGTGGATTTTTTAAAGAATTTTTCAAAAATATGTCGAGGCCTTTAAACGTGGATTTTTTAAAGAATTTTTCAGAGTTATGTCGAGGCCTTTAAACGTGGATTTTTTAAAGAATTTTTAAAAAATATGTCGAGGCCTTTAAACGTGGATTTTTTAAAGAATTTTTCAGAGTTATGTCGAGGCCTTTAAACGTGGATTTTTTAAAGAATTTTTCAAAAATATGTCGAGGCCTTTAAACGTGGATTTTTTAAAGAAATTTTCAGAGTTATGTCGAGGCCTTTAAACGTGGATTTTTTAAAGAATTTTTCACAGATATGTCGAGGCCTTTAAACGTGGATTTTTTAAAGAATTTTTCACAGATATGTCGAGGCCTTTAAACGTGGATTTTTTTAAAGAATTTTTCACAGATATGTCGAGGCCTTTAAACGTGGATTTTTTAAAGAATTTTTCAGAGATCTCCAAAGGCTTTTAAACGTGGATTTTTTAAAGAATTTTTCAGAGTTATGTCGAGGCCTTTAAACGTGGATTTTTTTAAAGAATTTTTCAAAGATATGTCGAGGCCTTTAAACGTGGATTTTTTAAAGAATTTTTCAGAGATCTCCAAAGGCCTTCAAAAGTGGATTTTTTTAAAGAAATTTTCAGAGATCCCCAAAGGTCCTCAAACGTGGATTTTTTAAAGAATTTTTCAGAGATCTCCAAAGGCCTTTAAACGTGGATTTTTTAAAGAATTTTTCAGAGATCTCCAAAGGCCTTTAAACGTGGATTTTTTAAAGAATTTTTCAGAGATCTCCAAAGGCCTTTAAACGTGGATTTTTTAAAGACTTTTTCAGAGATCTCCAAAGGCCTTTAAACGTGGATTTTTTTAAGATTTCTTCAGAGGTTCCCTAAGGTCTTCAAACGTGGATTTTTTAAAGATTTCTTCAGACGTTCCCTAAGGTCTTCAAACGTGGATTTTTAAAAGATTTTTTCGGAGATCCCCAAAGGCTCTGAAACGTGGATTTTTTTAAGATTTTTTCAGAGATCCCCAAAGGCTCTCAAACGTGGATTTTTAAAAGATTTTTTCGGAGATCCCCAAAGGCTATCAAAAGTGGATTTTTAAAAGATTTTTTCGGAGATCCCCAAAGGCTCTCAAACGTGGATTTTTAAAAGATTTTTTCGGAGATCCCCAAAGGCTCTCAAACGTGGATTTTTTTAAGATTTTTTCAGAGATCCCCAAAGGCTCTCAAACGTGGATTTTTAAAAGATTTTTTCGGAGATCCCCAAAGGCTCTCAAACGTGGATTTTTTTAAGATTTTTTCAGAGATCCCCAAAGGCTCTCAAACGTGGATTTTTTTAAGATTTTTTCAGAGATCCCCAAAGGCTCTCAAACGTGGATTTTTTTAAGATTTGTTCAAACTCCCCTTCAAGCCTTCTTCTGATCTGCCATTATTTTTAAGACATCTGCACGTAGGTTTGCCCGCCTCTACACCTAACTCTTCTGGCCAAATTTAAGAGAGTCGCAGTCTCTTGTTTTAGCCAACTCAGCCAACATCTACTACTCCATAGATTACCATGGCTAACATAGCTGACATCATCGATGAAAATTTATTTAATGGCCGAGACAAGCAGCCAACGTTTTTAGTACAGCGTTGGCGGGCTTAAGCGACGGTTCCATAAACGAAATCACCAGACGACGGTTGAGTGTTTCACGGCATCAGATTTTATTTTTTTGTGTGCGTAAAGCTCAAAGTGGAGACTTTGCCAAAATCCAGAAGAAAAAAGAAATAATTATTTCTAAAAAGAAACGTCTAAAGAAAAAACAAAGGCAAAATTAAAAAAAAAGAAAAAAAAACGAAATAATAAAACCAAAACACAAAGGAAAAAAGTGCAAAACGAAATTGAATCTGTTAAGGAAAGAAGCTATAAAAATATAATTTCAGACCTGAAAGTCACATTAGCAGAGTTATAAAAAAAAGTGAGTGCTACATTATAGCCAAGCATCGGTTGGAAGAAAAAAAAAAATAAAAAAAATTAAGAAAAGGCAAAAAATAGACGTCGGGTATAACACTTTGTTTTTTAGAAGAGATCTCAAGCAGAACCAGTCTTTTTCTGAACAGCAGAACGGCAAGAAAGGAAAGAAAAAACAAAACGCTGCAAATGATGTCAGTTGTCTAGAGCGAGTAAAACAAGCCACAAGCCATAGACACAACGGGACAAAAAGTTCTGAAAAGCAAGCAAATATACAAAAGAAAAAACCAACGAAATTCAGAATTTGGAGAAAAAAAATATTAAAAAATATATGAACTCAAACTTAACAAAAAATCTCCCAAGGAAATAGAAAATTATATCCCTAAGTGAAAAATCTCGGAGAAAAATTAATCCAAACTAAAATCCAAAAAATCGTTTAAAAAGTAATCCCCACTAGGGTAGTGTTTTACATTTTATTGTAATTTCTTGTGTTGTTGTTATTATTAAAATTTTCTGTTGAAAAAAAATATAAAAAAGTAAAAAGCGTGTTTCCGGCAAAAGCAAAAAAAAAAAAAAAACCAAACACAATTATTGCGGAGACACCACACTGCATTAAACACCAGTTTTATTATTGTGGATTTTTTTGTTGTTGTTGTCACTCAAAACCTCTATGCCAGCTGTTGTCCGGTGTATTTTCAGCTGAATTGATCACTTTAAGGTAAATATGAAAAAAAACTAGTTTAGTTTTTTTTTTATTTTCATTGTCACAAAATGTGGAAATACCGAAAAGCGAAGAAAAGTTATTTTAGATTGCCAAAGAAAATGCTCTAAAAATATCTTAAAAATTATTATTTCATATATAACTACTTCGGTGGAAAGGACATTTGTAAGGGGTGTCCAAAAATAGGATTTAAAGGTAAAAACTGAGGGATTATAAAATTTAGGGCTAGGAATTGTTGTTTCATCTTGCCTATAGTGTAAAACTCTCAGAAAATCATCTGGGTAAGGAGATTGGTAAGGGGTTGGGTAAGTTATATATAAAATAAAAGCTAGTCGTTTTTATTATCTCAAAATCTAGAACTAACAAGATCAAAAAACAGATTTCAGATTGCTAAATTCATCAAATTTTTGTTAGTAAGGACATTGGTAAGGTGTGGGGTAAGCGGTGTCCAAAAGTGGGATTTGAATGTAAACAAATGATGGATTATAAAATTTGTAAACTAAATGTATATGTCCTCTTATATATAGCGCGGAAATTCTATAAAATCACTGAAGTAAGGAGATGGGTAAGGGGTTGGGTAAGATACATGAAATAAAGTATACTTTAATTTTGTCCATTATTAAAAAATGTGGGAATACACAAGGTCGAGAAATTGTTAAATTGATGAAATTAATTTTAGTAAGGACATTGGTAAGGTGTAGGGTAAGGGGTGTCTAAAAGTGGGATTTGAAAGTTAAAAAGTTATGGATTATAACATTTGAAGACTCAATGTTTATGCGATCTTATATATAGTTCTGAATTGTTATAAAATCACCGAAGTAAGGAGTTGGGTAAGGGGTTGGTATTTATGAAACAAAAAATTATTTTAGCTTTCTTTTCAAAAAAAAAAAATATATATATATATCACAAAAAAGTAGCAACTCACAAGATTGAAAAGGGGTTTATAAATTGTTAAATTCTTTAAATCTTTATTCGTAAGGACATTGGTAAGGCGTAGGGTAAGGGGTGTCCAAAAGTGATATTTTAAAGTTTAAAAGTTATGGATTATAACATTTGAAGACTAAATGTTGATGCGATCTTACATATAGTTCTGAATTGTTATAAAATCACAGAAGTAAGGATTTGGGTAAGGGGTTGGTATTTATGAAACAAAAAAATATTTTAGTTTTTTTTTCACAAAAAATTAGCAACTCACAGGATTTAAAAGGGGTTTATAAACTGTTAAATTTATTAAATTATTATTCGTAAGGACATTAGTAGGGAGTAGGGTAAGGGGTGTTCAAAGGTGATAGTTTAAAGTTAAAAAGTTATGGATTGTAACATTTGAAGTCTTAATGTTTATGTGATCTTATATATAGTTCTGAATTGTTATAAAATCACAGAAGTAAGGAGTAGGGTAAGGGGTCGGTAACTATGAAACTAAAAAAATATTTTAGTTTTTTTTTTTTTCAAAAAAAAATTTTTTTCACAAAAAAAGTGCCATTGAATTCATTAAATTATTGTCAGTAAGGACATTGGTAAGGTGTAGGGTAAGCGGTGTCCAAAAGTGATATTTTAAAGTTAAAAAGTTATGGATTATAACATTTGAAGACTAAATGTTTATGCGATCTTACATATAGTTCTGAATTGTTATAAAATCGCAGAAGTAAGGAGTTGGGTAAGGGGTTGGTATTTATGAAATAAAAAAATATTTTAGTTTTTTTCTCAATTTTTTTCACAAAAAAGTGGCAACTCACGGGATTGAAAAGGGGCTTATAAGTTGTTTATTTATTAAATTATTGTTCGTAAGGACATTAGTAAGGTGTAGGGTAAGGGGTGTCCAAAAGTGGGATATGAAAATTAAAAAATGGTGGATTATAATATTTGAAGACTAAATGTTTATGCGATCTTATATATAGTTCTGAATCGTTATAAAATCACGGAAGTAAGGTGTTGGGTAAGGGGTTGGTAACTATGAAACAAAAAAATATTTTGTTTTTTTTTTAATTTTTTTCCCAAAATGTGGTAACTCACAACGGGTGTTTATAAATTGTTGAAATCATTAAATTATTGTGAGTAAGGACATTAGTAAGGTGTAGGGTAAGGGGTGTCCAAAAGTGGGATTTGAAAGTTAAAAAATATTATTTATTAAATTTGTGGACTAAATGTTTATGCGATTTTATACAGAGCCTGGAATTTTTAAAAAATCACAGAAGTAAGGTGAAGGGTAAGGGGTTAGGTAAGGTATCAAAAAATCATTACACCAAATGTGCGAACAGACAAGACCCAAAAAGGGATTACACATAGTGAAATACATTAAATTAATGTAAGTAAGGACATTGGTAAGGTGTAGGGTAAGGGGTGTCTAAAAGTGGGATTTGAAAGTAAAACAATGGTGTATTATTAAATTTGTAGACTGAATGTTAATGTAGTCTTATATAAAGTCCGGAATTTTCATAAAATCGCAGAAGTAAGGAGATGGGTAATGAGTTAGGTAAGGTAAATTTGAAACAAAAATTATTTTTTTTTCATTGTCATAAAATGTGGCAACTCCCAAGATTGAAAAAGGGGTTATAAATTATTAAATTCAAGGAATTAATGTTAGTAAGGACATTGGTAAGGTGTTGGGTAAGCGGTGTCCAAAAGTGGGATATGAAAGTTAAAAAATAATGGATTGTAAAATTTTTAGACTGAGTGTTTATACGACCTTATATATAGTCCGAAATTTTTAAGGGGTTCAGGTTCAGGTAACTATAAAATAAATAATATTTTTTTCGTTATCACAAAATGTGGAAGCGCACAAAAGCTAACACTGACTCGTTTATGCAATTTTCGTGAAATTAGAGTAGTAGTTTTTATATTTTTCTCCAAATCATGAGGGTTTAATTAAAAAGTTTTTGAGAATGTTGCGGAAAAGTAAAAAAAAATTAGCCATTTTGCGTGATCATCTTCTGGAGGCCATAACTTCGCCAATAACTTGTGTATCTCATTGAAATTAGTTGCTTATAAAAGTTGCAGCTCCATAGCTTTACACTCTGGAGCAATTTATGAATTTTTGTAGAGAATTATAAGAGTTATGGGAAAAATGAAAAAGTAGTCGAAATGAGTGAAAATTTCGGCAGTTTTCGGTTATCATATTCTGGGAGTCATAACTTCAGAAGTAGTCAAGGTATTTTTTAAAAGAAATTCATCACGTTTGAAGGTGGCAAAATTAATTTTCATTTAAGTATACATTTTATTAAATCTAAATAAAAAAAATCGAGTTATGGCCAAAATACGAAAGTCACCAGAAATATCAAATTCTTTGGTAATTTTGGGTAATAGTGTTCTAGAGGTCATAACATTTCAAATACTTCCTGTATTGGCATAATATTTATAGAGTTTGAAAACTAAAACGCTTATCTTCATATTTGTCTTCATCTTCCAACATTTCAAATTGGAATTTTACGAGTTATGGCCAAAATAAGCATGTTACCAAAAATGTAAAATTATTTGATCGTTTTGGGTAACAATGTTCTGGAGATCATAACTTTTGAAATACTCTATGTATATGCATAATATTTACAGCGATTGGAAATGAGAACGCTTATCTTCACATTTGTCTATAACTTATTACATTTCAATTTAAAAATTTTCGAGGTATGGCCAAAATAAGAAAGTTACCAAAAAATTTACTTTTTTTGTCGTTTTGCGAAATTGTGTTTTAGAGGTCATAACTTCTGAAATACTCTATGTATTTGCATAATATTTACAATGATTGAAAATGAGAAGCTTATCTTCATACTTGTCTTCAACTTATCACACTTTAGTTAAAAAAAATTTCGAGTTATGGCCAGAATAAGAAAGTTACCAAAAATTTCAAAATGTTTGCCCGTTTTGGGCAATAGTGTCCTGGAGGTCATAACTCTTGAAATACTCTATATATTTGCATAATATTTGCAGTATTTGAAAATGTGAATGCTTATCTTCACATTTGGCTATAACTTATCACATTTCAATTTATACATTTTCGAGTTATGGCCAAAATAAGACAGTTGCCCAAAAACGGGAAAGTTGTGGCTCGTTTCAGGTAATTGTGTTCTAGAGGTCATAACTTCTGAAATCCTTCACGTATTTGAATACAATTTTTTGTGTATAATAATGAGAACTATATCTTTACATTTACTTGTGCATTTTACATCATTTCGACCAAAAATATTTGAGTAGTGGGAAAAATAACGCAGTTGCCGAAAAGGGAAATATTTTTGGTCGTTTTGGGTAATCATAATATGGGGGTCATAACTTCTGCAATACTATGTGTATTGTCATGTAATTACCAGTTTTGGAAAGGGGAAGGGATCAGCTTTACATACATATGTAACATATCGTATTTTGTGTCAAAAATGTCGGAGCCACGGCCAAAATAAGGAAGTTACACAAAAGGGCAAAATTTTTGCCCATTTTGCGTAATCGTCTACTGGGATTCATAACTTTTGAAAAAATCAATGAATTCACCAGAATTCGACTTGCGTTGTAATAGAACTTCTATTTTTACATTTACGTGTGCAATCTACCACCTTTTGACGGAAAATATTTCAGTAATACCGAAATAAAAAAGTTACCGAAAAAGTCAACATTTTTGGTCGTTTTGGGTAATCATGTTATGGGGGTCATAACTTCTGCAATACTTAATATATTCTCATGTAATTCATAGGTCTGGAAAGGGAAAAGTATCAGCTTTACATACATGTGTATTTTGTGTCAAAAATGTCGGAGCCATGGCCAAAATAAGGAAGTTACACAAAAGGGCAACATTTTTGTCCATTTTGCGTAATCGTCTTCTGGGGTCCATAACTTTTGAAAAAATCAATGAATTCACTAGAATTTGACTTGTGTTATAATAAGAACTTCTATTTTTTACATTTACGTGCACTATTTACCCCCTTTTGACGGAAAATATATGAGTAATATCCAAAATAAGGCGGACACCGAAAAGGTCAACATTTTTGGTCGTTTTGGTTAATTGTTTTTAGGGGGTC